CATGAGGTTGAACAAAAGCAATAGCATAATAATATTTAAAGCTTTAAAGCTCATTCAGCTGAATGGCTTTTTTCAAATGTATTCCCGCTTAACGACTGTGACCTGCAGCAAATCAAATGAAGGGGACAAAACAACTGAAGAGATTGGCTGGAAAAGTTGGTAGTTTTATTGGTCATAAGGACATTGTGAACAATTATTCAGTATCTTGCTCGACCACGGTGGTCTTCTCGCTCACATAGATGCCGTCCAGGAACTTCCTGATGTCCTTCTTTTTGACCGTGGTGGCCTGTTGGATCAAGGCCGCTGAAAATTTAACAGAAAGGAGAGTGTGAAGGGACGATCACATGAGGGTAGAGGAAGCCTAATGTTACCACAACATGCTCAATGATTAAGGCCTGCAGGACATGAGCACTCCTAAATAGGCTTTGTGTTTTAGAAAACAACTTAGATTAAACAACTCGGATTATAGATGCATGCAGTGGTTTGGGTTTAAGACAAACCCTAAAGCTGTAGTAGAATAGACTCAGTGAAACCAGGTTGGAGATCTTGTGATGTCTCACAACAGAAACATGTACAGAGAGCTTTTCTTTTCACTAATTTGAAATCTTATGAACAAGCTAAATCTTCAGATTAGTTGATAAACAGTATAGCCCGTTAGATTAAAAGGGAAACCATGGAGATGCTTTGAAACAGAAAAAGAGAAACATGTTGCATCACCCCGAGACAACAGAAAGGAACTTGCAAAGACAGAGAAACAGATGAGAACACAAGGGAGGCTTCGACGGCAAGTCTAACCTCAATGAGTGCAGATGTATTTTTTACTGAGGGGCATCCACTACTGTTCCCTTCTCAGAAACGTAAACACCATCCAAGAACTTTCTGATATCCTTATTTTTGACTGTGGTAGCCTGTTGGATCAGAGCAGCTGGAACAAAAGGAGGTTGGGATAAGAAACACGTCACACATGGGATCACAATGATTACACAGGAGGTCGGAGGGAACACTGAGGAACGGTACTAGTGATGAGGAATGAACACTGGAGTCAGGAGGTAGAGGTATAATGACACATTAGGCTTTGCATTTCACATTTGTAATTAAATAATGACATGTTTGCATTTTAGCTTTCATTTGGTTGCGTGTTACCATGCACATCATAATTAACCAAGTCCTTTATAAAGCTACAAGTCAAGCAGTCAATTCAATTACAAACCCAATGCACTGGGGTACGAAGCCAAAACACATACGTCGGTCCTACTGAAACACTAATGTATAGCAGTGGGCATGGGGGGGGGGGCAGGCTTAAGATCTCCAGTAATTGTCAGAGTGTAAATGTGCTGTAATATTCTGGTAAGTTCAATATGTCCCAATGGACTTCATTCCTGACATAAAATAGCTGAAGTCAGAGGGTCTGAAAGGTATATCTGAAGCATTGTGGGTATAGTTTCGTTCAGAGCTCTAAAAAAATAATTAAAGTTATTTCTGCTGAATTACTCCCAACATATGCAACCTCCGCTTTAAACTGCAACAAGAACCATCAAGCGCTCTAACATGTCAGTCATAAAAATATATGTGAACCATCAATGTTAAGAGGGAGTTCTACTTTTAAATGGTAGAATAAAATACTCTGCCATATAATGAAAGAGTGCCAAACTCATGTTCAAGTAAATATAATAGTTCTGTAGCAAGGCCGAGGAAAGGATCAGACACTGATAAAACTAACAGCACTACAACAGCTACAGTTTCTGGGGAGAGGTAGCAGCCAATCTGCCGCCCTCATGTCACCAACAGATTTCCGGTGTTATTTGTTTACATCTGAAAGTAGACTAAACCAAGCTTGAAGGCAGCTTTGTTTAACTGAAAGTATATTGGGGATCCTGTTGGTCATTCAATAATGTGTAACACTTTAGTTAAACAAGTGTAGTCTGCGACAGGGGGTCCAATAAATCAGGATTTGGACTTGCAGACGGGTCAGGATATTTAACCTGCTAGATATCTCTCAGATGGCATCTTTAAAAAATGTACACAGTGATTGTTGACAAAAGCGAAAATGTTTCACTCTGATATGGAGTTTTGTTAAAGGCTAGGTAAATGAAAAATCGCTTTAAAAAACAACCTGTTCAGCTGTAGAGAAAGAGCGGTTACCTGAGTTTGAAACCAGCTCAATGTCGTTTCCCTCCAGGATCAGCTCGTCCTTCTGGGCAGTGGACACTGCACAGTTCACACCTGAAGGAAAGAGATTCACTTTCACTTTTCAGAATGGGATACAGCCTGCACCTCTGACAAACATAAAAAAAAGTACATGTAGCTCAATATTTTACAGAAAACACAATATTTTGATAACTTGCAGCAGACTCACCAGCCCTCATTCGGACACGGCGGATGTATTTCTCTCCCAGGAAGTTCCTGATCTCCACCAGAGTTCCAGTCTCCTGGATGACGACGTTGATGGGGAAATGGGCGTACACCGAGCGCATTTTGTACCGGAAGCCCTGCAGTCAGACAGAACCAGAGATGCATTCAGACAAAAACTAAATTGTTCAACCAACAATGGCCAGCCAGACACAATGATTACAGTACATGCTTATCCCATTGTAAAGTTGGATCTGATCTCGATCTGTACTCTCATCAATAAGGATGTGATTTCTGATACAACACTTTATTGGGGATATTTCAGCTACTATACCAATTGTACTGTGATATTATTCATTCTCAGAGAATTTGTGCTGTAAATTGTACAAAAGCCCCACTACACTAGTGAATCGTTAGTAATAATATTTACATTTAAAAAAATGACATGCTTGTTTGAAAAAATATTGCACACATGTATTATTTTTTCTTTCTGTTCCCTCAGTCTCAGTTTTGGAATGCAAACATACAGCGGCCTTTGAGTTTCTCGTGGCATGTTTTATTCAACCGAGTTTATAACTTAATCCTTGGTTAAAACTTAATGCATTCACAGAACAAGGTACACATTAAAAGACAGATCAAGAGTTAGTAAATAGATTTTCCAGGTGAAGTTCAATATGAATCAGAAAATAAACATTTTAAAATCGGTCTGTACTCACCAAGGTGACTCCCTTGATCATGTTCTGGACGTGGCTGCAGATGGTGCGGACCGTGGCCAACTCCTTCCTGTTACCCCACCATTTATCCACACGAAGCTGAGGATGACAGCATGGATAACATTAGTCTCCTTGTTTTTAATCAAAAGCTATTGGAAAACCTCTGGAATTTAGCTTTTTCAACTTGTTACGAGCCATTTTGAGATACAATAGCAAAAAAACTGAACATCAGAAATGCTGCAAGTAATATGCAGGTGTAAAAATATACATCTAAAAACTTCAGGAACTTTTTTTAAATAGTCAAAACAGCTGATCAGCCTCTCAAAGTGCAATGCTTTCCAACTTGTGATGGCATGTTTAGCTTTCATTTTTAATATAGCAAGAGCCCTAACGTTCTGAATGGTTATGGATCATGTCCATGCAGAATTAACAGGATAACACTTCATAACTGGGGGAAACAGATTACAACCTTTCGCATCACTTTTAATTTCTTATCTATAGTTTTTAAATTGTCCTGGTAATCCATTCAATGATCACCCAGAGACATGTTATCGGGCCTACACATTTCCATTACAGCCCAAACAGAGCCTTACCTTCTTCTGTTTCTTGCCCAGCAGACTGAGCTCCAGGTTGATGTGGTTAAACTCCCTGACGAGTTTGCCACGGGGCCCCTTGACAGTGACTGTCCGCCCCTTCAACCTCACCTCGACTGCAAAGAGAAAAAGCGAAAAGGAGTTTAGAAACCACACTCCACAAGTTAGGTTAAAAACGCATGTACCTCAGGAATTATCCTGGTAGTTTGCACAAATCATCTTTCTTACCCTTGTCGGGGATGTCCACAGTCTGACTGCTGAGAATGGTCTTCATTCTGTAAAAATGAAAAGATAACATGTGAGTTTATGGTCTGAAACTTGTTAGCATCATTTATTATGAGACATCTTCACTCTTCATAGCTACACTTCTATAATGACAGGGTGCAAAATATCCAGTGCTGACCCGTCATGTTGTGCTTAACATTACAGGATTATGTTTGAGTCAACAATAAAACGTGGTCATTGTAAAATACAGTATGAGCATCTCAGCACAGCCATACTGCTTTATCGCAACTAGCATTTGTGCTAATGCTAAGGGAAAGATACATTAGGCAATGACACCAGTGTTACCCAAAACAGGACCAACTCTAAAACATGATACTCAGAGTAATTAACAACTGAAACCACAAGAATACTGCACTCCAAAAACATAATATAGTTAAACGAGCTGCGGCCCTGAGAAGAGACATGGCAGCCAGGCCTCAGACAAACAGCGGTATCGATGAAAAACAACCAATATATTTCTTAACACACCGAACGTTTAGGCAAAATACAGCTTATGTAGTGTAAAATAACACTGCCTGCATCAGTTAGTTCACAGTTAAGCCAAAAACATGTTTAATTGACACAGATGGAGTTAGATAAAACTCGGGGAATAATTTTCAGCTATCCTCACCTCGCCGGTAGCAAAGGAAAGGGGGAAGGAAGGACGTCACGACGCAAATGTAGAGAACGTGCGTGCCGTCATCAGGCATAAATAGACGATTGACGAACCAACACAATTCGTAAAATATTGTAGCTTTAAATTGGAAAAACACACAAACGACCACAGAAAAGTAGTTTTGTGTCTTTAAAATTGTTTTTATTATTATCAATCATTTTAATTACTCAACTTTCTTTACTTGTATACATTTGTTATGCCATCTCAATAATTCAATCATTTTTAATATCTTTATTTCTTGCTTACAATATACCTGGTTTGTTACTAATTCTTATACAAATATAATAAATAACTCTTTAAGCGTATTGAATCAAGGTTGGAATAATCATGAACGCCCCAAGTCACAAAAAAAAAATAGATATTTATTTCTCACCAATCTGCCTTATTCACTTGAACGCATCACCAGACCAAAGCAGCCGATTGTGGAGGTTTGTTTTCAATGACAGTCGCTTGTAGCTAAAGTCATGGCGCTGCTCAAACAAAGCTGTTGTGTCGCCGGACGTTTCTCCACAAATCATCTGTGGATGAGTCCGAGATGTATCACACATGTGAGTATTTCAACTGCTCGAATATTTTACAAACACTGACGGTATGATGGGTTTTCTGTTATCGGCTAATAATAGTAAGCCTGCTGGTCAGAGGCCTTCAAGAAACGTGACGTATATATATTTTTTTTACTCAGCTGTAGTGACAGTAAGAAGGCTGTTCATAAAACTCCTCAAATAAAAGCTATGGTTTACTGACTGTATTGTTAACATGGATTGTATATACTGTAATCTATATAGTAATCAACAGTGACCAGTTGTGTAAAGAAACTAAGTACATGTACTCAAGTACTGTACCTAAGTATATTTTTGAGAGACTTGTACTTTACTTGAGTATTTCCATTTGTTGCTGCTTTGTATTGCTACCCCACTACAATTCAGAGGTAATTGATGTACTTTTACTCCACTAAATTGTATGTAATACCTTTAGTTACTTTACAGATTTGGAGTAATGATGTGAAATATAATCAACACTTAAATAAGACTTTAGTTGCACCTGGAGTAAATTCACAAGCTACCCTTGCGGTATACAAAGTCATTCAAACTAGCTACACCTTTACCAGCTTTAATGACGCTTTAATGCATCAATAATTATAATCAAAACATATGACATATATATATATATATTATTCTGAAATGGGCCCATCTGCATTATGAGTATACTTCTTTAAGTATCTTTAGACGCTAATACTTTTGTACTTTTCCTTGAGTAACATTTTGAATGCAGGACTTTTCCTAGTATTCCTAGACTGTGGTATTTCTACTTTTACTTAAGTACAACATATGAGTATATCTTCCACCTCTAACTAACACTCAGTCCTTCCTCTGCAGGTTTACAGCAGCACTGTGACTTCTGCGGCGAAGTCCTCCCCAGACAGGGCCGACAGAAAGAAGGAGCTTCTGGGTGAAGATGGGCCTGACCTACAGGACTTCATTTCAGGGGAATTATCCGAGAAAAGCAAGTGGGTCGAGTACAAAGGGAACCTGAAGAGAGACAAGGGAGCGAGGTGAGACATATTGCAGCAGTGAGAAAGTACACATTTTCAGTTTCTCCATGTGAGTGATGAGTGTTATCAGATGGGTTCAAAGACCAGATCAGACCAACACTTATCTAACAGACTTTAACTATGATAAGTCAACTGGTTTTGCTGTCATACCTTGAATGGTAATGTTTAGTAATGGCATGCTACCCATGTAGATCCTCATACATCTGACATTTGCTGGTTGAAATTGAACTTCTGCTCATTTAAATCTAAATGTAGTGACATATATATTTTATCCACAGAGAAAATACATCATTAAGTGATTAACTTTGCTAATGTTTTGTGACAGGCTGCGTCTTCCTCCGTGGCTGAAGACGGAGATTCCCATTGGAAAAAATTTCAACAAACTGAAGAACACTCTGAGAGACCTCAACCTGCACACAGTAAGTTGACAGGTGACGAGTTAAAGGGGACCTATCATGCAAAATGCACTTTTGTACATCTTTTATACATGAATATGTGTCCCCGGTGTTCCAGGGAACTCACCAAGTGTCAGAAAACACAACCCTCTCTATTTTCCTCCATACCCAAATCTCTAAAAAAGGGGCTGCAACGGATCTGATAAAAACTGATCCAGATTTGAACACTGTCCTGACGTCAGGACGGTGGCGCTACGGCTATTGGGCCAACTCCACCAATCAGGAGGAGACAGCCACGGCCATTGCCGTTCGAAAGCGCTGGATACGCTGTAGTACATATGCCAGGCCTGTAAGTGGCGCTGTAGTCTGCCACAAAAGCAGCGAAGAAGACGTGGTTACCATGGTTACCCTTCTGTTTATTCTCCGCTGTGGCTTTCTTTCTCCCTCCCTGAGGCAAGCGTTTGCTCCCGCTGCAATGCAATCCCTCCCCGTCGAGGCAAGCACTGTAATTCTCTCTGGTTAGTCCACCAGCAGATGACAAACACCCACCTCTCCGCCTCTTCCAAGGAACGAGGGGACCGTGCGGCAGAGTTTCAGTTTCAGTTTGTTTCGCCGGTCAAGATGTCCGTTAAAGTTGAAATCTTCTGGACAAAATTAGAAAAGTGCCGGTCAAAGGTCTTCTTTGTTATTTATTGAGCTTTAAAACAAATGAATAACGACTCTATATAATAAAACACGGAGGACGGAGATCTCTTTTTCTCCCCCTCTTCTGACAGCCCAGCAGCTGATCAGAGCACGTCTCCCCTCTCCTGCAGGGGGGCGTGGTCAGCAGAATCAGACCCACAGCAAACAGCACATAGAGCGAAATGAGGCATGGCTAAAATGCATGATCTGTTTGGTATTTTGAAAACAGAAACGTATAAATATACCTTATATAGGTATGGCCCTACAATATATCATTTAAATATAGCATGATAGGTTTCCTTTAAAGGAAGTATACGCAAAAGTGAGTGGAGAAATGTAATGAATGCTGACACTTCTAACTGGGGAGGGGGCATTTGCTTTTCCTGTATCATTTGATGGATGTTCACAACAAATGAATACAATGTTTTATTATTTTTTGATTTAACACATTTTATTCATACCTGTCAGAGCATACATTTCAGATATAGTTGCTGTCTCCCCCATGGTATGATATGTCAAATAGTCTTCATTTTAACCACCTTTTTGTTAAAAAAGGAAATAATCTCAACATATTTGACATTGTTAATGAAAACAGAGAATGGTGCTTTGCTAACATGAGTCTTGACTTGCAGATGTATTAGCTAGAAGCTAAATTAGGTTAGTCACTCAGACATCTGGATATCATATGCATAATAAGTGTTTCCTACAACTATATCCTTCAAAATACTTCGACTCAAGTCAAGTGATGAAGAGAGTTTTACCTTGGTTTCTATCAAATGTCTAAACTGCATACTAAAATTGCTTTATAAGAGGTGCTATCTATAGCTATCTATATATAATTTTATCACATTGGAGCCAAGTCCAACATTAATCCTATGTTAGTTCTTGTGCACCTAAAAACTGTGTGTGTGTGTGTTTTCTCAGGTGTGTGAGGAGGCCAGGTGTCCTAACATTGGGGAGTGCTGGGGAGGAGGAGAGTACAACACAGCCACAGCCACCATCATGGTAAGTGTCCGGGCTCACTGTGGCATCTTCTGCATCTACATTTTCCTGACGGTATTAGAAAAAACGAGCTGCGGCCTTGATGACTGTGTGAATGATTTGTCAAAAATGTATGTAACTTAGGTTTTCTCTCTCTCTTTATATGTAGCTGATGGGGGACACATGTACCCGGGGGTGCAGGTTCTGCTCTGTGAAGACGGCCCGTCGGCCTCCACCTCTGGACCCCAACGAGCCCTACAACACAGCCAAGGCCATCGCTGCCTGGGGACTGGACTACGTGGTCCTCACCTCCGTCGATAGAGATGGTAATGGCATCCTAACTTAATGCATTTAATTAATTATTTTCCAGGTGTTGCTTAACACTATTGCTGCTTATGAAACTTATTTTTCAAGGAAACAACCTGGAAGATAGGCTGATGTACAATTATTATTTATTCTGGAATTTACATTGGAATGTAATCCGGATGAATCAGTTAAACTGCTGTTTTTATAAGATTCATGTGCAGGCTGGGTTTATTAGCAGTATCCTTACTAAAGTACTTTCTATTGCACTCATGTCAACAACACACACTGTGAGTAACAGACCATATAAGCTTTACTATTAATCAATTAAAATTAAACATTTGTGTTTTCCAACAAGTCAGGTGACTTATAAATCCACAAAATATGTTTTCAAAACATTTGTTATTTTTTCAGATTTCTCAGAATACAGCATTTCTTTGATCAGATTTAAAAAAAAAAAAAAAAAAAGGTTTGCAAAAATATAAATGTCCACAAAGTTTTGTCAGCAGGGATGTTCTCTTAAGTCATATTTCCTTTAATTTCCAGACATTTCTGATGGAGGGGCAGAGCACTTTGCTAAGACCGTCTCCAACCTTAAGGAGAGGTATGATCTCTCATCCTTTTTGGAATCAGATTCAACATTTTAGTTTATTAAAAATCTGTGCAAAGTGAATAAATAATCACTTTTGTGATCCTCATCTCAGGGACTCCCGAATCCTGGTTGAATGTCTGACCCCTGATTTTCGCGGTGACCTGGCAGCAGTGGAGAAGATCGCCCTGTCAGGGTTAGATGTGTATGCCCACAATGTGGAGACCGTGCGAGAGCTGCAAAGGTACTGACTGTGCCTCAGCATATTGCCTCTGTCATATTGACCAGTCCTTTACATATTGGCAGAAGTCAGAAGATGAGCCTCTGATCTCAGTTTTAACATTAAGAAAAGCCTGATTGCTGTGAATCCATCAGCTCTCTGATTGTAGTGCTCAGCCATCAAGCTAAACAAAAACAGGGTTTTTGAATAATGAAAACATGTTACAGATGTGTCATTATAAATTGCTTAATGAGTATTTTTGTCCTAAAAAGGAAACTATGAACTATAAACTATGTTTACAATGATGTGTGTGACACTGACAATGTGGCCCTATTATTGCATGTTATTTTTTATTTTACAATACTGGAATTTTAAAAGCTGCATTATTCATATTTCATAATTTTTAAATATTTGAATGAAGTAATAGTATTTATGTTTCTTGTCAATGCACACACTGACCAGTAGGGGGCACATCTGAGCTGTTACTATAAATACCACTAGAACTGCAGATGTGCAAAAGAGAAAAGACCCAATGGATTTGATGTTTATTGAAATAGTTAATTTAGGGGTATATCAATGTACCTTTCTGATTATATACTTCAAACAAGATGTCCATCTGTCCATCTGTTTGCAGGTTTGTGCGTGACCCCAGAGCGAACATCGACCAGTCTCTGAGTGTCCTGAGGCACGCTAAGAAGGTGAATCCCTCTGTGCTCACCAAGACATCCATCATGCTGGGACTGGGCGAGACCGACCAGCAGATACACAACACCATGACTGGTGTGTACATGATTTACTTATTTACTAAATGTTGATGTTAGAAGAGCCTGGAACTTAAGATTGTCATTGCCAACAACTACACAGTAGAACTTGTTCATATGACGGTAAATCCGTTGAATCCCAATTTCCTGACTCACTGTTCTGGTGATGTTGCAGAACTGCGAGAGGCAGAAGTGGACTGTCTCACACTGGGCCAGTACATGCAGCCCACTAAACGCCACCTAAAGGTAAAAACATCAGACTTTATAATGTATTCCAGTATACAAGGTAACAGTACTGAAATAAAAATGCACATTTGGTAATGATTGCACATTGTGATAACGTGTGTTTGGGTTTAGGTGGACGAATATGTGACTCCAGAGAAGTTTGCCCACTGGGAGAAGGTTGGGAATGAGATGGGCTTTGTTTACACTGCCAGCGGGCCCCTGGTGCGATCCTCCTACAAAGCAGGTATGAAACACACTCCACCCTGTCTAAAAAAGACCTTAATCCAGTGGCACAGGAAGACATAATTACATTATAAAATAATAATAACCGCATGCTGGTTTAAATAATCGATTCGTCATTGAAATTATTTCCATGCAAACATTGTAGTAAATGCTGTTTCCAGATCTCCAAATATGGAAATGTCCTGCTTTTCTCTGTTTTATATAATAATAATAATAATAATAATAATAATAATAAACTGAATAACTTGATGTTTTAAAAACATTACCCTGGGACTCTCCGCTTCCAAACGATAATTTTAGAATTGATAATAAAAATAATCATTATTTTGACAATTGAATTGGCAAAAAAATCAAGTTGAATACTAATGAGTTCATGCTGTTCATGTCTTTCAGTAAGATAATGAAGTAGTATGAAATAAAAGTTAATGAAGATTTGCCTTTTCGTCATTTGGGGGGAATTAAGATTATTGGAAAGGATCCTGGCTTTGATGCTTTTCAACTGTGAAACTAAAATAGATAATCTAGCCAGTGCTTTATTGCAACAGGAAACATTTATAACTATCATTAACCGTCATGGTAAACATAATATGCGTCCAGGGGATTGTGTTTGTTCATGAAGTTCGTATGGGTCAGACAGAATATATATCATTTGTCATCTATGTCTTTTATCTTTACAGGCGAGTTCTTTCTGAAGAATCTACTGAAAAAGAGAAACACAGATATCGCCATCGGAGAATGAAAACCACCAAACGAGCAGCTGCTAGAGGCTTGACCCCTTAGTCCCTACCTATACCTACATACTTATAACAACAAAATCAGCGTATCTCCTGCTATACCATAATGAATCTTTGTGAGCTTTACACATGAAAAACGTTCAACATTAGTAGTAACAGCATGGTGTGCAAGAGAATACAGCTGGTGTAGAAGTACTGAAGTGTAGAGGGACCGTTCTGTTCCTTTTTTGAGCTTTTGTTCTCTCCTGTTCACCCGTAACAACTCAGGTCGTACATTTTAGTGAGGGATCAAAGGGAAAGAGCAGCAGTTATCGGGCTGCAGATCTCCAGATAACCTGGGCGCAGCTTTTGTTCATGAACCGCTGCCAGGAGAAAATACGACCTGGTGTTAACAAGAGCTGTAATTTGCCATCTCTGCACCTCGGGCAGCTAAATCACATCCCCCCCTGCCCTCAGGGGCCTGGACTTCAGGAGCAGAGCCACTAATCTCTCACCAAGCTCTGTTTATGAGCCCTTTGATGTCCGATGCTTCTGGACACATTTAATGAAGCGGTTTTTTTGGTCGGAGGGTTTTTGCAGCGACTTAAGATCTGCTTGCTGAAGATATGTACAGTAACACTGTTTTTAAAATTCTATGACATTAAAAAAAAGTATTTGTTGGGCCCAAATTGACCTTTTGCCAAGTACAGAAGTAAAGATACATTCTTTTTCTACAATCTGTATCTGATGAAAAAACAATTTGGGTTCAAACTATACTTTTTTTTAAATGTGAAAAATGTAACTTCACACATGGTGAAAAAAAGTGCGTATATTTTGCAGATAAATTCTTTGGACAAAATAAACCTTTAAAATGTACATACAACTATCAGTGCACATTGTCTTGTTTCAATTATGTGTAATTTATTTGTGTTCTTTCCATCAATTTTGAATAATCAGGCACACATTAGGAGATGTCACATTTTATTGTAGTAAAAAAGTCACTGATACAGAGGACAATACTGATTAACTTACAGTTAGATGATTTATAAAAATACTTTTATAAAAATTGTTTTGCAATTTAGCAACAATACTTGATTACATAGTAAATGCTGTAAGAAAGTAGACGGTGCATGTATAACTGCATCTAAAATGTTTTCATTGCTATTTGACTTAAAAATAAAACCGTTTATCATTGCTTTATCCCCTTTATCATTGCTTTATCCCCTTTCTACAGACCCAAACACTTTTTGGGTCACATTCACACACATTTGTTCTAAAGGCTCGACCTCCTCTCAGACCGACTGCAGGGAGCAGCTGGTCACGCTCTTTCGGCCTTTTTATTTTTATTTTAAAAAGGTTAACAGGAATGTGGAGGTGAGGGAGGTTTAGACTTTGGGTTTCTTGGTGGGAGGTTCAGGGGCGGGGATGCTGCGACAAATGGCTGCGGCGGGGGTGTAGGGGATCCGTGCTGCGACCACTTTCTTACCGATGGTCTCGACCTGCAGAAAGAAAGACAGTCGTTACTTGTGGCACTCGGTTTACAAACGTTCATTTTGATTATGTATGAGATGTGAGCAGCGTGGTGTGTGTGTGTTGTGTCCGCTCACCTGGAAGCCGATGTTCTGAAGGTGAGCGTGGAGATGGTCCAGCACTCTGCGGCCGTCAAATATGAAGGCCGGCTTCAGCATCTTCTTGTAAATCTTCTCATAGTCCAGCTCCTATGGTGGAATTAGAGGAGAATGATGACTTTAAGGATTTTTTTCCCCCCAAAGATGAAGCCATTTATAAGATGGTAGGACTCAATGTGTGATTGTGACCTTAAACATGTCCCACTCGGTGCAGATGACCAACGCATGGGCCATCTGGCAGGCCTCATACGGGTCAGTGGTCACCGTCACCAGCTCCGACACTGAAAAGAGAAATTATTTTGTGAGCTAGGATTCAAATAAGTAACAACAAATAAGAAGTTTTACCTTTAAAAACATTACAAATAAAACCAAATAGCTAAGGGAACTACTAAGGTTATCCTGATTTCAAACTCCCTCCTAAATTGAGTTACTAATGAATCACTCAATAACAATCATTGACCATAATGGCCAATACAAATTGCTTCAAATGCGACCGCCAACTTTTTATTATAACTGATCAATCCGCCAGATATTTCTAAATCATTCAGATTGGAAAAAGGTGAAACAGTAATATTTGGAACGACACCAGAGAATGATCCTCATCGTGTGCTATTATATAATTAACCTTGTGCACACTTTTGATTGGAACCTTATCAATCATTTATGTTTGCAATCTTTGAACTGCAAATATTGCTCAACAATTGCCCTCCGGGGGAATAAAGTTATATCTTATCTTAATCTGGCATTATTAACAATTTCAGGGGCTGGAGCTGCAGATTCATTGCCATTTCTAAATGTGACAGCTCATTTTCAAAACACTGAATACTGTATGTTATCGCAATCTGAAGTTCCAGTCTTTGTTGCATGTATTTGCCTTTGTCTGTCTCTTTTCATTTTCTGCACACTCCCTGCTGTTTCTTATGTAAAAAATTAAAATAGATGAAAGGGTGCGTTTGAACCTTGGTAAATACATGCACGCACGCAAACACACACACACACCTCTCTGTGGGTTGTCCTCGGAGATGTTGGGCTGCGAGAGGTCATGAATGATTTGCTCCTTGAGGACTTTGGGGTCGTAGATGAACAGCTTGGCTCCCTCATCCATCAGATACTTAGAGATGTAGATACTGGACGACTCCCTGGATTACACAAACACACACACACGCACACACACTTTAATTTAAACTCTGACCAGAGCCATAGTTCACCACAGCATGTTTGCAGTAGTGTATCACACAAACAACCCCAGGTTAATAATTAACATAACAAAGCTGTTGGAAAGAAATATGAAATAACTGGGAGTTGGCAAATGTCTACAAGGGTGTGAGAAAGTAATTACAAATTAATCGGCACTAACCTTGTGTCACCCGTGTCTTTTTTGAAGGAGAAGCCCAGCAAAGCAATCTTTTTTCCAGTAACGGTGTTGAAGAGGCAGTCAATGATCCTGCAGGCAAACCTCCGCCTTTGGTACTCGTTCATGTCGATCACCTGGAAACATCATAAATAAAGCAATAAACCACTAGAAGATGTTGTTTACAAGGACTTGAGAACATTTAGTGACCTAAAGGAAGTTACTTTGAACTTTTATAGAGTGGTTACTAAACATACCTGGCAGTATTTAATAAAAAAAACACAGCAACATAAATATAAAATGTATTGATGATAAAAAACAACTTCTCCGCCACGCATTGTAGTATTGCAGCGACATTAATTGCGTGGTGCGAGTAGCAAGGCTATAGCATCAAGCAGTGGCTGAAAAGTACAGAAACCAGGGATAACCTTTCCTTTTTTTTGTACAGTGTCATGAGAGACGGAGAGCCAAGTTTAGCCTAATTTTGGTGGTTCAATCAAAATCAAAAGGCAGATATTTTTGGCACACCAGGCGCGAACGGACCGCATTCTCTGTTTACTGTTTGTTAGCTATGTTTCTTAGCTTGTACAGTTCCTAAAAAATAGCGGTTCTCACCTGCTGCCAGTAGGAGGCGACCTCAGGCAGGTTGAGGACCTCGCACAGGTAAACCAGATTCAGCACATCCTTCTGGAAACAGCTTCCACCAAAACCTGACCAGGGTGTTAGAGAAACAAAGAGACAGAAAGCAACACTTAATCTGAGTTTAAATTAATCAGACTTGACATAGACGCTCACTTTAAACCTGGCTGAGTTTCTTACCTATGCTGGCTTTCAGAAACTTGCTCCCTATCCTCTGGTCCATCCCGATGGCCTTGGCCACCTCCTCCACGTCGGCCCCGGTGGCCTCACACAGAGCACTGATGCTGTTGATGCTGCTGATCCGCTGGGCCAGGAAGGCATTGGCTGCCTACACAAGCAAACACCAGGTTTTTCTTTCAGATTGTTCATGCGAAAATTACATAATAATAGAGGAAACTCCAAATAATATAAAGTAAACAATTCAATTAGGTCACTTTTGGCTCATTTATCACTATGCCTCTGTTACGCATCCTACACACGGTTCCGGTGCGAGCTTCAGCGGAGACGCTTCCCCTTCACTTTGAATGGGGTGACGTCACGCTTTGCCGAACTGAATTGTGGTTCCGTTGCTTTGCCTCCGTTGCTCACGGTGAAAGTTGAGAAAAGTTCAACTTTTCAAGCGTTGAAGGAAGCGCCAGCCAATCAAATCATATGCCAGTACAAGCGCTAGCCAATCAAACGCGCTCTTTGTGTGTCCGGGGCGGGAGATTAATGTGATTGGTTGTTGTTTGTTAACCCCAAGCGCCAGACACGCCCACCGGCAACCGTCAACCCGACGGAACCGCGTCGTAGGTTGTGTTACTGATTGTTGGCCCCATAGTGCAAGTAATTTAAATATGTGGCCTGAGAAATTACAAAAAAGCATTTTTCACAATTTTCTTGACAAAAGAATAAAGTAATTTAATAAAAATTAAACATTTTTTTTTGTCCGTTGCCGCCCAACACTCACCAGTTTGGACAGCTCGGACGACCATGTGTTGGTGGTGATGATGCGATCTTTAGGGACCCAGTGTTCATAGACGGCACACAGCGCTTTGATTGCCCTCTGACCTTCAGCTGTTTCGTCTCCACCAATCAGGACACGGTCTGGCTCCTTCAGATCCCGCACTGCTGTTCCTTCTGCAAGGAACTCTGGGTTGGAAAGCACCTAAAAGCAGCGGAACGAGAACTTTAGAAACTTGCAGATCAACGGATACAGAGTTGAATTCTCAGACAATCTTTCACACCTGTAGGTTGAGGCTGGGCTTGGTGTTGGCATCAAATATCCGACGAATGCTCTCAGCCGCTCGAACAGGGACGGTGCTCTTCTCTGTGACGATCTTGTAGCCATCAGACTGCTCGACAATCCGCCGAGCACACGCCTCGATGAACTTAAGGTCAGCTGCACGACCCTTGCCCATCCCATAGGTCTTAGTTGGGGTGTTGACCTGTGGGGGGAGACCGACTCCAATAAATTCACTTATGTGTCATTAATGTCGGATTTATTTCTGTAGCCGGTCAAACTGTGTGTCAGTATGTGTGTGTACGGCGATGACTCACAGAGATGAACACAAGGTCTGCGTCCCTGATGGCTGGGTCTATGTCTGTGGAGAAAAACAAATTTCTCCCTCTGCATGATTCAACCACTTCTTTCAGACCCGGCTGGAGTGAGAGGAAGTGGGAAAAAAAGACAGGGAGGGTGTGTCAGTGAATTTCTTGGACAAACATGGCATAAACAGTTGAAATATAATACGAGTTCTCCATGACTACTCATTAACTGCCCTTTGCGCTAGTCAAGTCATGATGATGTAATACTTTGTGGCTATGGTTGACGTACAGAGGTTGCGAAACCAAACAATCTGGAAGTAATTGTCATTTATCCCACAATGGAGCAATATTGTACAAAAACATGAGCTGGACAAGATGCCTAGCTACATCAGCTTTTTCAACATTGTTAAGAAATTCAACAAAGAACACAGGCAACTCCTTTAAAAACAAATGGCTCTCAAAAGAAGATATGAATATAAGGAATTATAACAAATAAGATATGAGCCCCTCCCTGTTGGAAAGTTTGATTAAAGCTGTTATAATACCCTCAGCTCAGTGTCTTTGAGTTATTCCATTGATATATTACCTCGTATATGGGCAGAGTGTCTGAGTTCCAGGCTTTGATGCGAGACTCATTGACGTCCACAACGGTCACCGTGATCTCTGGACACATGTGGGCGATCACACTGCATGTCGGGCCTCCTACATACCCCGCTCCAATGCAGCAGATCCTTTTTATCTGAAACATCTGCAAAATGTAGAGAGAGGAACACGGTTATCTACAGATATTAACTTATATTAACTAATTATAGCCTGACAGGTTTTTTGGTAACTGTACTGGATTGAGAGTTTTAAAAACATCCTATAATGATCTATCGGCCGATGCTTCTTTGTAAAGCATGCCTGAAAAAAACGTTTGAACACATTCTGAAATAACCACACTGTAAGGTTCAATGTTGTAAATACCTGTGTAAAATTAAATGTACTTGAACAATTTCTAATATTTACATTTAATTGTGCACAGAAAAAATATATTTTACAGCTATACTATGGAGACACACATGAACACAAATACGGAGAAATCATATTAGAACATATTAGTTTCCCTGAACTACAATGGGATATAGTCATGAGCAAAATTATTAGGTGTTGGACATAAAGTAACAAATCTGTTGGAAAACATTAAACAACATTTTGGTTACAAGTGGACCTTCACAAGTCTGTACCCTTATTACTGAAGCTCAAGGTTCAGAGAAGCTTCAGAGTGAATTGTGAAACGTTGCCAGTTAGAGAATCCAGTTTGTTAATGACATTGAATTAAGTGGTTATATAAAGTGAAGAAATACCAGTCTCTGTATAATATTTCCTCAAAATATTTCACATCACATTTTCTACATTTTGAGTTAGTATGTGCTGGTTATTATCAATTCAGAAGAGCAATTGTGTATCATGATGATTTTGCGATGATTTAATTGAAAAAGTTAAAAAGGTAATTACACAGATATTGCACAGGTACAGTCTTGTACATTGCACTGTTGAGGAACCTACGATCCAAGTTTATCATACATTACACAATTACACGTAGTTTTGTATATGTTATGACAATAAACCTATGAATCTTGAGGTAAATATATAAATATTTTTGATACAGTATCTGAAGTGAGAACATTTTGCCTGACATATTGCCATCTGTTCTGAATAAACGCCCCGTTTTACTTTATATGTACTTTAATTAAACGTATTGCCACTTTAACATTAGAAATGTAATGTAGTGATTAACTCTAATCTTCAACACATTTTTTCTTTGATGATTTAAAACTATGTTTTATAAACCTTCAAGAAAAAATGCCAAACATGTAGTTATTCCAGCTTAATTATAAGAATATGCTGCTTGTCTGTGACAGTGTAACTCAATATAAACGTTAGTTCAGTTTTGAATTATAGGTTGTTCCAAAGAAATGTTACGACATCATCTTGGGCTTAACAAATTGATAGAGGAAACTTGCCCATTCATTGACAATGAAAGTAGTCATTCGCTGAAGCCCTATTCTGCAGTCCGTATATTTAACTGTGATAAAAGTGTCTACCTTCTAAATTTTACAAGGAGTAGGAAAGCTCCTTCAGAAATGTTAAGCTTGTTTATTTCTAACACTTTGATCTTCATTATTAAACCCTGCTGTTCAAGTCTTGCTCACTGACTCGTCAGTGTTACACTACCAGTTGCACCGTCACAGCCCTGCAGAAAACTGGAAATAAAGAGCCTTTCATTGCAGATCAGCCACGTCTAATACGGATGTATAGTGACCTTTTATCCCTGTTACCTTTCAGCTACTTCACGGTAGCAGTGCTGCAGAGGAGGTGTCAGCGTTGGTAGGGTACCAATACATTACACATTAACAGGACAATAATTACGGTAGTTTACATCTTTCATAACGGTGACTGAGCAGAGTAATAAGAAACAAATGAATGGAGGTCTGTGTTGAATGAAGCAGCTAGCTAGCAGTTAGCTTACGTTACATTACCTTTGCCAACTCGACAGTCAGTCAACTTGAAGAATGCGCAGATTATGTTAGCTCTGTGTCGAAAGTCTTCGGTTCCGCAGCCGGTGATGGATTAAAAACCTATAACCGTCTTTAACTAAATGTAAACTTGTACTCGTTGATCAAACTCACACCATCAGGGTCTCTCACTCAACTTTTCCTGCACTACCTTTACCTAAACTGAGGTACTTCTGCAAGTAACGTTACCTTACAGCCTATGGATACCACCTCAATCAGCAGGACGCCCAGCAGCAGCTAAGAGACACTTCCGGTGCGGGGTTTTCAGAGTAAAAGCACCAAATCGCATTACGCCCACAATCTGCAGCATTCACACACACACACACACACACACACACACACACACACACACACACACACACACACACACACACACACACACACACACACACACACACACACACACACACACACACACACACACACACACACACACACACACCAATAATAAACATATGGACAGGGGTTACTATTTAAAAAAAAATTGCAAATGTATTTGGGAACCTATCCATGTGAACATATTTTGGGGGTGGACCTCAAATCCTCTAAGGGGGTCCGGGGGCATGCCCCCCCTGGTAAGATATTTTTTTAATTTTGGAGTTAAATGCATCAATCTGGTGCATTTTGAGGGGAAAATAAAGAGACTAGATCTATGGAAACACCCATATGAAACAGATGCCACATCATGTAGACAGACAGTCACCCTGTGTGAGGCAAACCCACATTTGCGCAGCGTTGCGTTCACAATAGCCTACATTAAGGCCATCGGGAAACCTCCCGGCCCTCCCGATGGCCAGTCTGGGCCTGCCAGCAGCCCTCTACTCGCTACAAGCTTAAATATGAAAACATAGCCGTGGGAACATGTTTCAAATGGGGGGTGCTGTGCGGATGACACCAGGGCCGGTTCTGACCAATTTGCTGCCCTAGGCAAGATTTTTGCTGGTTCATTTATATCTTATTTTATCAGTTAACATTTATTTATTCATCCATATTTTTTAATCTCTCCAGTTTTAAAGGATATTGTTGGTTTACTGTCCTATAGTATACATGTGCCAAGAGCAAGGACTGTCTTAGGTAAGACAGCTTTTATGTGCGCAGCTCCACTTGCTTGGAACAATCTTCAGCAAGAATTGAAACTGAGCAATCTCATTCCTCTGCATGTTTTTAAAGCTAGGCTAAATGAAATGCTCGTTGATACTATGGGTACTTGTAAATGTCTATAACTATGTAAATGTATCCTGTAAATATAATGTATGATGTCCTTTATTGTTTTATGTTTCATGTGGAACCTATATGCTGCAGGTCTCCCTTGAAAAAGAGATCTATGATCTCAATGGGACCAATCTGGTTAAATAAAGGTTTGAAATGAAATGAAATGACATTGGAATGATTTCAAACCTGTTTTTATTGATCCTAATAATTATAAAGGTGTGCCTTGGAAATATTTGTTTACATAAATTGTGATAAAACCGTTTGAGACACACTGAGATAACTTAGACTAAAGTGAACTATCTAAACAGTCCTTTACCTCACTGAGCCTCTCAGGGCAAATGGAAAATGTAACCGGGGTGAAAAGGGTGTTATCTTTACTTAATTATGAATGTGAACAGTTGTATCAACAGCTTTTACAATGTGCTGCTGACTGCTGGAAAGTGGTTTTACTTTAAATATATTTCAAAATACTGCTGCTGGTTTATAAAGCTTTGAATGGTTTAGGCCCAAAATACATGTCTGACCTACTGCTAAATTATGAACCATCCAGATCTCTCAGGTCTTCAGGGACTGGTCAGCTTTCTGTCCCCAGAGTCAGAACTAAACATGGAGAAGCAGCATTCAGTTATTATGCTCCAAATATCTGGAACAAACTCCCAGAAACCTGCAGGTCCGCTGCAACTCTTACTACTTTTAAATCCAGGCTGAAGACTTTTCTTTTTGCCGCTGCTTTTAATTGAACTATTCACATCTTAAACTGTAACTTTTATCCATGTATTTTTTCTTTTAATGTTTCTTTTATTATCTTTTCTTTTTAATGACTGATTTTAAATGCCATTTTCATAATGTCTTCCATTTTTGTAAAGCACTTTGAATTGCCTTGTGTTGAAAGGTGCTATATAAATAAACATGCCTTGCCTTGCCTTGCCTTGCCTTGCCTTGCCTAATGTATTTGTTTCATCCATTGTGCTAATGCAGGTGGGGCCGACCAGTTATACAAGAGGTAGATAATAGCTGTACTTTTTTTTAATGAGCCACATGCCATGATGCACCAACATAATTGTATTGTTTAGACTGACATTAAGAACTTGAATCAACTCATTACAGGGCGAGAGAGTGAGAGAGTGAGAGAGAGAGAGAGAGAGAGAGAGAGAGAGAGAGAGAGAGAGAGAGAGAGAGAGAGAGAGAGAGATCAGACAAAGTGATATGAGTGATAGTGAAACGTTTTAACTTTCATTTAGCAAAACATAGCGTGAAACTTTACATGCAAGTTTCAAAGTAACTTCCTGAAATGTAATTGTCTGCGGTGTTTTTCTAAAAACAAAACAATGAGGTAGATACTAGCTGTCATTTTTTTTAAGGAGGGGCAGCTTGGGCGTATTGTTGTACATAGCCGCGGGAACATGTTTCGAATGGGGGGTGCTGTGGGGATGACACCAGGGCCGGTTCTGACCAATTTGCTGCTCTAGGCAAGATTTTTGCTGGTTCATTTATATCTTATTTTACCAGTTAACATTTATTTATTTATTTATCCATATTTTTTAATCTCTCCAGTTTTAAAGGATATTGTTGGTTTACTGTCCTATAGTATACATTGGAATGATTTCAAACCTGTTTTTATTTATCCTAATAATTATAAAGGTGTGCCTTGGAAATATTTGTTTACATAAATTGTGATAAAACCGTATGAGACACACTGTAATAACTTAGACTAAAGTGAACTATCTAAACACTCAGAGTCCTTTCAGGGCACATGGAAAATGTAACCGGGCTGAAAAGGGTGTTATCTTTACTTAATTATGAATGTGAACATCAAGGCCGAAATCTTTTTTTTTTTGTATTATATTTGTATTATATTTCCATTTAATCTTGTGGACGTGCAGATTCCCTGTCCTCCATCAGGGGGTGCTGCAAGCACCCTCAGCACCCCTACTTACCACGGCCCTGTATGAAAAGGTTCAACTACGCACACACACATGATCTCGGCTCGCGCAGCACGCTCACAGGCATAGATTGTGCAAGAAGTGCAGTGCAGGCATATTGTTATTCAAGAGATGCGTTGTTCTTTTGGAAAACATGTTTTTCTTTTCAATAATACTCATTACATTGACACATGCATTATTTGTGATTAAAATAATGGTTGTTGGTAATGTATTAGCGACCCCCACAGATGTATGATTTCACTGCGTCCGTGGGAGCTCAGACCCCTCCTTATGTGGGAGCCAATGGGAGCTCAGCTCCCATTGGCTCCCACATAACTCGAACCCTGCCTAAAACAGTGGCTGACAATGTGTTTTTTTTTTACCTTTAATGTTGTACTTATTGTTTGTTATTTAGTTTGTCACTTTAATAGAACGACCTGTCAATTGATCAAACTGTATTATCAATACTCTGTGACTCCAAAAAAGGAATAAAAAAACCAGTGAGAAAAAACACAAATACAACAAATGAATCATGTTTAACATAAAATAAGCACTGAATGATAAAGAGATCTGTTTCTAAGATTGTGTGATGTTGTTGGGTCTTGTAGTTTAAAGAAAACAACTCATCAACAGCAGTTCAACCATGAACAATAGAAGGTTGTTCAGACAAATTATGTTAGCCTTATATAGTCATAGTTTTCCTATTGCTGCTTCAAATGAATTTGTATAACATGCTAACATAGATATATAGTTTATTTGTATTGCTAGTTTCCTTTGGTTTTGACATGTCACCATGTCACAGAAAAACGACTTTCAAAACATAATGCAACATATAAAACATATTACAATTAAACTTACACTAGAGCTGCTGGCTAATGTATAATTTAACTGTTACCATCAACAATTGTTAAAACACAACTAACAGTACAACACGTACAATGAAAAAGGTATCTTAGAAGCGACAGATATTTGAAGGGGGTTATATTCAATTAAAATATTATTTTCGAAATGGTACGGTTTTATTTGGAGGGCTCCATGGAGGAGGTGGGCTATCTCGGAGAATCGTTTGTATTCGTCTTTCTTCTTTTTGTCTCTTCTGTTCCAGATCTTTCCGTACCTGTTGGAAAAAAGGAAATCACTTATCAGTATTATTAACCATTCCAGATTCCTTAGATATAACCAATGTACCATCAGTAAGAGAGACAAAAAACATTTTGTGGAGCAGGGTTTTGTACATGATCTATTTGATTTTGATTGGGGTAAAATCGATCTGTGTGCTGATGTAGAAACTGCATGGTCTTATTTTTATCTTGGTTTTATGGAAATTATAGATAGACATGCACCCCTGCGTAAATTTAGAGTGAAGGGACGAGACAACCCTTGGTTTTCTGCTGACTTATCTAGTCTCCTACATGAGAGAAACAAGGCCTGGGCAAAGGCTAGGAAATCAGGCTCAGAGGTAGAATGGCTACGCTTTAGGCAGCTAAGAAATAGCTTCACATCACAAATAAAAAGTGCTAAGTCTAAGTATTATCTGTCAGTTACCACAAAGAACCTGAATAATCCTGGAAAATTTTGGAAAGCCATAAAATCGATATCCACCGGTGAGATCCGTAATGAGCTACCTCCGTGCCTTACTACAGCATCTGGCTCTATATCGGACAGGGCCACTATGTTAAATTGTTTTAATGAGCATTTTGTGTCCTGTGGCTCTCTGTTTGATTCTGTGACTAACTGTGCTTCTGTGAACGTCTGTGACTCTGAAAAACGTGTTTTGGAAAACCCTTTTAGTTTTACTCCTTTTACTGTTGATGTTGTTCGTGAAGCTTTAACCAAGTTAGATCCTAAGAAACCGGCCGGCCCAGACAACGTAGAACCTTTCTTTTTAAAGATAGCTGCAGATTTTATTGCTCCACCTCTCACTACTCTTTTTAACCTCTCCCTCAGCACAAACACAATTCCAAAATTGTGGAAGTCAGCGTATGTCCTGCCTCTACTAAAAGGTGGGGAGGCCACTTTATTAAATAATTATAGGCCCATCTCTAAATTATCAGTTCTGGCTAAGGTTCTTGAACGCCTAGTGAGTGAGCAGGTAAAGGTGTTTTTATGTACAAATGACATCCTGTCTAAACATCAGTCAGGCTTCAGAAAGCAACATAGCACCATCACTGCCACAATGAAAGTGGTGAATGATGTGGCGAGTATTTTAGATAATAAGCAGAGCTGTGCAGCTCTATTTATTGACCTTTCCAAAGCGTTTGATACCGTCGATCATCGCATCTTAAAGCAGAGGCTACTCAGTATTGGCATATCCAGCCATGCAGTGGGGTGGTTTGTGAACTACCTCTCTGAAAGGTCCCAATGTGTTCATTTTGATGGGCTGTCTTCTGAGTGGTTAAACATTACTAATGGTGTTCCTCAAGGTTCTGTTTTAGGTCCACTTTTATTCTCCATCTACATCAATAGTTTAGGTGAAAATGTCGATGGAGCAACCTTACATTTTTATGCGGACGATACCGTTATGTACTGTGCAGGTCCCTCCATTAAGGAGGCTGTTGTTGAATTGCAAGCTGCTTTTAACATTATTCAGACTCAGCTCTCTGAACTAAAGCTTCTTTTAAATGTTGATAAAACCAAGGTAATGCTCTTTTCAAAAGCTAAAAAGACACCAGAGCCTGTTTTAGATATTGTAACTACGCAAGGAATAAAACTTGAAGTGGTTGCCTGTTACAAATACCTTGGTATCTGGCTTGATGATTGTCTCACTTTTAAACGTCATGTCAATAACCTGCTTAAAAAACTGAGGGTTAGGCTAGGTTTCTTCTACAGGAACAAGTCCTGTTTCTCGCTCGAGGCCAGAAAAAGGCTAGTCTCTGTGACCTTTTTACCTGTGCTGGACTATGGTGATCTGATTTATATGAATGCACCTGCCAATTGCCTGGTCAAGTTAGATGCTGCGTATCACAGTGCACTGAGATTTGTGACAAACTGTAAAGCATTAACCCATCACTGTACCCTGTATGCAAGGGCTGGTTTGCCATCGCTAACTGTACGGAGGCTCAGTCACTGGTACATTTTTATATATAAAAGCCATGTTAGGGAAACTTCCATCCTACATCTGCTCCCTGATCTCACGGCGAATTGTAAGTGGCTACTGCCTGAGATCGCATGCTGTGGTTTTATTAAATGTGCCAACTGCTAGGACTGTCTTAGGGAAGATAGCATTTAGATGCGCAGCTCCACTGTCCTGGAATAGTCTGCAATTGAAATGGAAACTGAGCAATCTGGTGCCACTAAATGTTTTTAAAGCTCGGTTGGATGCTACTGAATCGGAAGCTGTTGGTACCTGTTCATGTGGATAGTTATGTAAATTGTAATCCCTGTAATGATACTGTATGATGTCCTTTTGTTGCTCTGTTTATGTTTTTAATGTTTCATGTGGAACCTACTTGAGCAGGTCTCCCTTGAAAAAGAGATCAATGATCTCAATGGGATACAACCTGGATAAATAAAGGTTTGAAATGAAATGAAATGAATGCCATTCGTCACTGGTGCCACAAGTAATTGTACTTACCAGCCAGCTTTCATACATCTCTAAAGCCATTTTATCTCTCTCTTCTTTCATGTAGCGTTCCTCCTCTGCTTTATTTTGTATTTCTTTACGCTTCATTGTCACTATTTCATGGATAACATCTTTCTTCTTATCATTCCTAAAACATTTTTGGGGAAAAACAAGTAACAACAGATTAGAGGTGATAGAAAAAGATTAATTGTGTCTCGACATTACGCTTTGACTGCCATCTAGTGGTTGATCAATTTCATCACTAGATAGGTTTGAGTCTGACGGTACAATACTGTGTTGCTTCTAATATCCACATATAGCTTTAAGAAGTTAAATCAATTGCCTTTAGACACCAATAAAATGTTTATAATCAAGTACAGAACGACAATTCTATGACCAAAAACTCTGCAATGTTGCCATTCTAGCCACCAAGTGACAGTAGTGTGTAATGTTTTGGTAGCCGTTCTCAAATTGTGCAGCGTCAGTAGCTGTCGGACTGTTTTGGTTTGACTGTTTAGACATTCAGTGTTCCTTCCCTGAAAAGAAAATGATTTTCACTCACCAACCAGAAACGGCAGATTTGCTGTCATTTTTCCTTTCTTTCTCCTTTTCTTGTTTTCCAAACTGAAGTCTACTTTCAGCTTCTCTTTGTTTTCTGGACTTTTCTTTGAGGAGATGATCATGTTCGAGTTTCCATTGTTCAAACACCTGTCATTTTTACAACATTATTGATTAGCATATCTTTCCCCAGAAGTGTTTGTGGTAGCTTTCAGAATAACAAAAAATAAATAAATAAATGTACCTGTTTAGCAGATTGCATTTTTTCTTGTTTTCCTTCAAGCTCTCTTTGCTCTCTCATGATCGCATCTTCCTTTTCTTTGGATTTTGCTTTGAGACTTTGTGCTTTCTGTTTTTTCCAAGCCTCATATGATGCTACAGCATCTCCCTTTTTAGCCTCTTCTTCCTGTTTAGTATTTAAAATATGCATATATGTTAAAATAACTTGTTTTCTTAATATTGTTCTCAAACAGTTGGGTCTGCTGTATTTACGAAACTGATTATTCACCCTTTTCTTTTTCTCTTTAAGGATGTCCTCTTGCTTCTTTTGCTGCATGTTCTCTCTTGACTTTTCTTTTTTCTTTTCAAGCCATTCCTGTGAGGAATACATGTTAAAGGGGGAATATTAGTTTACATAGAATTCACTGTAGATAGACGGATAGATAGACGGATAGATAGATGTCCTTTATGGATCCAAAACTGGGAAATTCTTATGTTACAACAGCAGCAGGTTATCAAGGTCTTGGACTAAAAGAGATACGCAGTAAATATATATCTTACACAGAATAGAAATGTATGTATATAATATGTATATGTCTCATTCTTTATATATTTTTAAAAACACAAAAAATATATATATCGAATTGAGCAAATGACTTAGTTTTTTCAAAATGCAAAGAGGTAGAGTGTAATCATAACGATCAATACAGAATGAAGTATGGTTAAGAAAGAAACTGCACTGGTTGTATATTTTTCTTCAACATTGAACACTTTAACATTTTCAACTGTAGCAATGTGGCTCTCAACACGGTCTCATTTCACACTGACCTGGTAAATGGCAGCTCGGATGGAATCTGCTGTTTGAGGCTGAGACTCCTGGAGTGAGACTTTACGATCCAGAAGTTTGAGCGATCCCAAATATTTTGATTCCACATTTCTGGAGCAGGCACTCTGAGATCTCTGAGTAGTCTTTGAAAGAGAACTTGGTGTCCTAATTTAAATGACATGACATTTAGTTAAGTTACTACGGTGTTCTGTCAAAAAATTGTTATTTAAGTATCCAGTGTTGTAGCCAACCTGGTATCAAATGATTTTTCATGGACATGAGAAGTTTGATGTGAGGCATCTCCCGATCCTGCCTGAAAGAAGATAATAGACACATTTACTGAGACTAATAATCAAAACAAGAGGCAGAGCACTTCTGACGTGTCACTTGCAACCACAGTCACACCTGATGATTAAGGACTTACATTGAACTCTTCAAATGATGTGGAGTACTTGCTCTCCTGCTCTTTGCTGTCATCAGAAATAAAGTCATCTAAGAAAAAAGAAAGAAATATGAGTAGGATTAATAAGCTAAAAATACTATTTAAAAAAAAAGGTGATGGTGCTGAATATACCAGTTATTACCTCGGGATCCAGAATCAATAGTGGACTTTGAAGAGAGCTGTGACTGTTCACTCTTACTTGAAAAAGATTTGCTGAAGCTGCGTGAAAGTGCGCTATCTCCTTTTGTCCACTACGGTGAAAAACATAACAACAATGGGCAGCAATGAGAAGACGTTTTAAATTCAGAAGGGACCGTTCACCCCAAAATAAAATAATACATGTTTTTCCTTTTAACAGTAGTGCTATATGTCAGCTATCTTCTTTCTACTGAACTACAGCTGCCAACCTTATCACAGCACAGAAGAAAGTGTGCCTCTTTGTTTGCAGGTGTAGTTCAGTAGACTCACACAAAAACAATCTTGATTGATAAATGGCACTATGTAAGAGAAAAAATATGTATTTTTGATTAGGGGTTGGATTGTCCCTTTAAAATACTGACTAATCAAACAATGAGAGATGAGTGTCCTTACAGTGTTGTTGCTGGATGTGTCAGTGGAGAGGGGAATGGATCCAGAAGAAGTCTGGGGCCTGCTTACTTCCTGAGAATCACCACTTTCAGCTATTTTCTCCTTAGGGTGGAGGCTCAATCCGAGAGTCCTTTGCCTCGGTTTAGGTTTGGGTGGCTCCCTCTCTGTATCTAAACAATGACAGTTTGTTAAAAAATACATTAAAAATCCTACCCAAGTCACATTTAATGTTTCCCTTGTGATTAATACTTAAAACGGTGTAAACAGACCTGCTGTTGACACGTGTGTCAGGTTATTTGCTGATAACTGCGCACGCTGGTAGCTTTCTTCCAAGTTGCTGTTCTCATCGGGAACTGGAGTTTCAATCACACTGTTGTCAGATGGTAAGGGCAATAGCATGTCCGGTAGAGTGTCATCTGATGTTTGGAACGACAGAGATTTTACTGAGCTCTGTTTCGTGATTTGTGGATCAGCAGTCTCCCCATAACTGCTTTTATAGTTTATGTTATCTTCACTAACGTTTGTTGAGCGCTGGGTGGATAATGAGTCATTATAATTGTTATGTCGACTGTCGGAAGTGTCGGACGGATCGTTTTCTCCCAACTCTGGTGCCGTTGTTACTTCCAAGGGAGTGTCAATTCTTTTGGATTTCAGAAATGAAACTCTCTTTGTCCTGCCGTGTTTGTCCTCATCGTCTGAAACCTCGAAGGTGTTGATTTTGGATTTACTCTTCCCAGCCTTAAAAGCCCTAGCCCTCTCTTTTCTTGATTTGAGGAGTTGATTTAAAAAATCTGTGTGAAAAGAAAAGGAGATGACAGGCTAGGACGAAGCAACAAACTATATCAATTGACAAATAATAACAAACAAATGTTATTTAACACTTATGTCTTAAGAGGAAGTACAGTAAATTGGATAGAACACAAATATAATTTACACAAAGACACTAAATCTAGATCTAAATCTTCAGGGTCACTTGCACAATCCAAACTTATCAAGATATTTTAATGCTCTGCCTTCTTACCATCCTCATCTTCATTAAAGTCATCAGAGTAGGAGTATTGGTCTGTTTCGGTTTTGCTAGCCCTGGCAGACACAGCAGCCTGAAGTTCATCCTGCAACGCCATAATGTCAGATTAGATTCAAACTGACTTTATTGTCCATCTCACTGGAAATGTGTCTTTGGCTTCTCCAAAGAATAAAAATGTAATTGTGCAGAAAAATGACCTCCATGTGTGATCAAGTAGCATTTTACTCTGGTAGACAAACAAAGTTCTGATGCAAAATATTGACTTGTTGGTGTATATGTTGGATATATTTTGCATCTTAAACAGTTAGTCCACTAGCTTTTTTTGTTAGAGATGCATTATATTAAAGTAGCTACAGATGTTTGTTTTTTTACAGATGAGTAAAAGTCCAATATGGACCTATGAGATGTATTGGAGTAGAAGTCAAAAGTAGCATTAAATGAAAATGCAAGTACTTAAGTATAGTACTTCAGTAAATGTGCATATTTACTTTCCACCCTCTGTGGGGGGCTATCGGTTTAATCATGGTTTTTCATTTGGTCGGACACTGCAATGAATAAAGCTGTTACCTGGAATGTTGTCCTCCTCGATGTTTTCGGGCTTTTCGTGTAAGCCAGTGTCGTGAACTGCTGATTTGTCATTCTGAAAACTATGAACAATTTCCTCTGTCCGCATTCATTGAGATTAGCATGCTAGCTAGTGTTCAACCAGTAGCTAGGTTCTCTTCTAAGTTTCCCATGCGCACGAGACACATAGCTCGATTACTTTTATGCGTTGATAATTCTGACTACCTGTTGTCTGATTACGATACAGTTATTCGGAAATGGTAGCTTCTATCGAAAGGCAGACTGTTTTCTGCTAACAAGAAAACAACAAGCTACAGTGGGCTGACTGACTTGTTGATGGTAACCCTAGGAAACGAGGAGAGTTCCGTTTCTCCGTGTACCCAATGCGCATGCTCAGAAGATAGCAGTTTTGCACATTTTGATTTGATAAATTCAGAATAAGATGAGCAAAAAACGAATGAAAAAACATTGCAATCGCTATAATGTTCACTGGTACATACACTGCACACCTCTTTTGTATGGGATTGTAAGGTTCCTTCTATTTTACAGTCTTATAGTGTTATATTGTGTATGGAAAATACATTGCTCTTTGTTAGATAACTCCCATCTTTTCACATTTGTTATAAATACTTACAAAATACAGATCTTGATTTAAAACAAAAAATTCTGTTTGGTGACTCACTCACATATGGCTGTGCCTCTGGTCTCTGTGGAACAATGCATTTTCAATGTTTTCTCAAGGATTAGAAGCCAGAAAATAATATTTTCAATAAAGATATGGTGTTTATCTTCCTGAATGAATGCAGGAATGTGCAAGATTATGAATAAACATAGCCAGGCAATAAGACTGAATAATATTTTTATTTTGTTATGGGAAAAGTGCATAGTTGAAGCCCTTTTTTCTCTCAGACAAAAACAGTGTAACTCAAGGTCTCCTGTGGTAGCAGATAGTTCACTAGGTAATCTCAACTATCTAGCATGGCTTCCCCCTTAATTATATACAACTGCTTGTGGTTTCTATCTTCACCTCTACTTTCAATCACCAGTGTCTTAAGAGGGCATTATTGGCTGATGGGAATTAGGAGTATCTAGCCACCTAAAAATGTTTTTACAGATCATATCCATGTTCTTACAATTCAAACACAATGTAACAAGAAATACATTTTAATTTTAAGAGTAACTCGATGTCATTTTCTGATATCACTGGGACCCAAGATAATAATCCACTGCCCATTTACACTTTAATAGCCATGTTGCCATGACAGTGGCACGACACAGATAGTCAGTGACCAGAAAAACAGGAAACCCTTAAGCATATATTTTACAATCCAATAGCTAATAGAAGATATATTACATACAAAATCCACCAATTGTAATGTTCATATTTTTTATCAATCAAAGGGAAATTATTTGAGGCTGCAGTTTGGCGTGCAGTTGTATTAGGTTATACGTTTTCACCGACCTTTACATACATGTTAAGAAAACATCCACCACCATATTGTTCTGATTTAGATTCCGTACAATCTTTTCCGTACATATTCACCTTTAATCTAGCTGACAGAATGTATAACATGACTATTCTAGTAGAGCTCTGGTTCAAGAGAAATTAACAAATCCTGTAAGAAAAAAAATAGTTATATTATCATATATTATGACAGAAAATCCCTCTGAACTCAAATTTCAAATAAAAAATCAAATATTACTTTAATTAAGAGCAGTTTTTTTTCTAAATTGGAATCCACTCTTAATATTCACATTGGCCCTTGCTTCCTTCTTTTTAACTTGGTTTGAAATCATTGTCATACAGAAGTTGTAGAATAAACTTAAGATTGTTCCCATTACATTTCCGGGTGAGAAAACAACTCCTGAATCAGTACAACACACCTTCATAAGGAAACAACATACCACAACAAAAATGCTAATAAAATATAATTCTCTGCTACCATTATTCGAGTAAACAATTCCGTTTTTGTATCTTTCAGCCACAGAATAATTACAGTACAGGGATTAAAATGTTTGTGCTGAGTAAATAGTTTTACAATGATTCCATTCAATACATCCCAACTGTACGCCTACAATTCAGTTCATTTCAACTACGTGTCATAATTTTGACTTGAGTTTTATCTTCTTAATCAGACTCTTTAAGATCCAGCACTGCTGCCTTATACACTTGTTTAGGGACAGTAATCAATGGTCATACATTTTTATGGAAATTAAGTTAATGTAACAGACCAGACTATTTTCTGTAATACATTATATAATTAAGGCTTGGATGTAAACACAGAAGATGATTTTGTTGCATTTAAATCAATATGCCATATAACTGTAAACCTAATTCTGAATTTAATGCATCCATATGAACGTATTCCATTGAATAATATTGCTGTTTTGAATATGCTTTAATAACATTAGTCAACATGACATCGTAACTGGCACCGTTTGGACTAGTAACTTGAAAGGGGAAAGAGAGGAATGTTTCAGAGAACCCGCAACCCTCTATTACAAGCAAGCATTTCAACCAAAACGTAACCTCCCCTCTCATATCCACCAACACATGTTCCTTCATTTAGAGTTCATGCAACTGCAGATCAGTCAGCATCAGAGCAGAGATCAGGAACCTAGAACAAAGCCTCAACTTCTGATTAAAGACTTGAGGTAAATAACACATAGAGCCCAATGGTTATATCAACATTCTGATATTGTCGGTCAATATTATAGGTCAAAATTGTAATACCTGCCTTTATCTACACCTTGTCACTTGGTATACATTTTTAGATCATAGATAAATTGGAAATATCATAACTGTATTGGAGTCATCAATTGTCTATCAGTTGGGCTCTAGTTACATGAATCATAGACAGATCCACCCCAAAATGTAACGGCTTTAGAAAAGCAAAAGATATTTAAATAAAAGGGGAGGGGGCACTGTCCTGGTCACGGTCCCTTGCTAGCTGTGCAGCTCCGTCAGAGCTGCTGGGGGGGGGGCTGTACTCTCCACTGTTAGTCAACAGGTGGTGCTGGCGGCTCTCTTCTATCGCTCTGCAAGACAAGAAAATTATAAGTATTTTCAATGGAAAACATACAGTTTTGATGATGATATCAAGTAGCAAACTATGAAACAAATACTGTGATAATATTACTCATTTTAACTGTATTGCTATACTGTACTATGTCACCTTTTCACTAAGATAGATAATTGCTTATCTTTACAAATATTGACCAAACAACTGAATCATAACAATATGTGAATGCTTTCTGTATTTTTTTAGAATGTTGTTTTCTGTAACTTAACTATCACAAAACAGAACTTACTAGCTCTTATTAGATGAGCCAGAAAATATTGACATTTAACGTTCACATAGACACTTTCTAAGGCCTTTTTTATCATTTTGACATGTAATATTATTATCATTGAGAAGTTGAAACTGCTCATTTAGCCATTACTCCACTATATCCTTACATGGCAAGTAGTTGTTTAATGCTATATTAAATGTTCGGAATATTATATATAGCACCTATATCCTCATACAGGCAAATTGTGTCTCTTTGAGTTAGTAAGTGTAATTATTTTTTGATTCATTATCATTTGAAGGCAGAGCAGTACTGAACATATATATATTTTTTTAAATCATATGTTTCGTTGTGTAATCAATACTGACATTGTGGGGTCCGGAGGCTTTGCCTGTGGGACGGGAACGCCTGAGACTGGAAGGCCGCATTAGGAAAAGGAGAAGAGCAACCACCGCCCATCCCATCAGAACCAGGGGGAGGGTCAGCTCCCCTCCTCCGCCCACCGACCCACCGGGAGCTGGCACTGAAAAAATAAAAATAATAATTTGCATTGTAACATATGTTATTATACTACACTCATGTTTCCGAATCAAAAAAATTACACAAGACACTTTAAAAAAAACTAAACAAATGGGTCTAATGTGGTTGTACGTACGTTCCTGAGGGCAGTCTGTGTCTGTGCAGTAGGACTGAGATTGCCTGAGCTGAAAGGGAAATTACAGAAAGAACAAAGAAGACTTAACACAAGAGAAGATGTCTGGCTCATTTTCCGCCTAACTCAGCACATTTATAAACTCCTCTCAAGTTGACAAGTATGCCTTTCTGTTTTTTTCTTCTTCTATGTGGCAGATTCAACATCAAGAAGGTACAGACCAACATTGATGCAGGTTTGTAAACACTAGGAAGCAGCATTGTTACTTCCTTTTTATATCTGCTACTTATCAGTCTCTCCTTCAAACTCTCAAACAAGAGTTAGTGATTGTTGGAACAGAGGAAAGACGACTTTGATAAGTATTGGTTTGTTTGTGCTTTTTAAAATGATGAGGTCAAATTACTGTTGTCTGATTGAAGTTGGGTGGCTTTCAAGTAGAGCATAAATGTATGTTTTTTTATGTTAATAAATTATATTATTTGTCCATATCCCTGTTCATCTTATTTGGCAGAAAATAACTTCAATGCACATTACATAGCATTGTGGCGTAAATGGTGAGAAAATGTGTGTGTCCACCCATCGGTCGTGTTCAGTAGGATAGGAGCTGGAGTTGTTAAATAACATGACTACTGTAGAGACATTTGTTCTAGAAATTAATGCAGGTTGTATCCTTTCCAATTAAAGACATAATCTGGGTTTAGAGTGTGTAAATTGTTTGTTTTTTTCATGGAGAGAGGGGCTTCATTTTCTCTGCTTACCATTGCTCTCTTTTCTAGGAAGAGGGAAAACAAAGGTTGACTTTTAAAACACCGCTGATAACAAATAGGCTAATCCACAGGAGTTCATTGTTAGATGACACCTATTGTGTAAGTAAATAACCAAGTCACAACCTACTTTTAACAACAGCACATACAAAAACAAACATCTGAGTTCTGCTTCCTTCCCAACAAACATTGTATAGTACTGACTGGCAAATACTGTGTAAATGATTTGGTTATTTGGACAACACCCTTTCCTGTTGCAAGCAAATCAGAAACCCCTAGGGTTGTTTCAAGCTCTAAGCCAACTGCAGCTCGCCATGCAAGTTACACCTGTGCACAAAAGAGCCAATGAGGTCACTTGAAAACTGACACAACATGATCACAATCTGTACTCCTCCTTTAAAGTACGTTCTCTAAATAACTTCAACCTAATCTACTTCAACACACTTTCCATTTAAAAAGTGCTGGGGGTATTTACAAGCAAAATGCATATGTGACAACACAAAGTGTGTCAGAGTTTAATTTCTCTGTAAGGCAGAACTGATAGCATCACAAAGTAAATACTGAGCAGGAACCAGGATATGTGGCTCAGTGTCAGTCGGCAGCTTTTCATTTCCTTCTTCTTTTTCTTGCTAGTTCCTTCATGCCTGACTCTCTTTGCTGCCTTCTCTCCACTTCAACAGAAGATATTTTTACTTACTGCATACTTGGAATACCTGTCACTTTCCCTTCACTCTGTAATGAGTCTGCTTCGTAAGATTTCAAGTGACAGAGAAGGACACTCATGACTTACCAGGTTTATGAGTCGCCTCATAGCGTGCTCGTGGGTGCAGATGCACTCACAAGGGTCAAAGCCTCCCTCTGCCATTTCTCACCAGATGTTGTCCACCCTAAAACAAAATGAAAGAACTGTTAACTCAGATGTTCATGAGCAAGTGAGAGATGTCTAATGCTCCCTCTAGTCAGTGTTGTGCACACACAGGTTAGAGGGAGGAGACTGCTCAGTTTAGTACAGTCAACAGACAGTTTTATTGCGGTGCATGTTAAGTAGGTTGTTGCTTAACGTGAGGGCTGTCACAATTTTTTATGTAGCCAGTCAAGAGTTATCTGAACGCTGTAGGCCATCACATTTTTGCACTGCAGCGATGGCACTTTAATTTGACCACCTTAAAAAGTTGACATAAAGAACAGAGAATATAAATATATTTGGACATTTTGTTCACGATATATTATTGGATATTTTGTGAGTGGATTCTGATGCTGTCCATGTATTTATTTCATTGAGATTTTGTCTCGTCTTTGCCCAGTTTGTGTGTCATTCTTTGTGTTTCGGGACATTGTGTTTTCATCATGTATGTATTGCAATCTATTCAGTATAGCCTACTTCTAACATTATAATTGTACAAGGAAGTAGCGGTCAATCAGCTGGACTACATAAAGCGAAAATATAAATCTTAAAACAAAAACAAACAATTGCCACGTTATTTTAACCAAATAGTGACATGCATACACTTGCATGGCTACATTTCGACTCAATAACAATCTCACTTGTTACCGAGTTGTATTACATGAAAAAAAGAACACGTTGTATTTTACATGGGTGTCTGCTTACATATGTATAGAGTGGCACTTTTTGCTAACCAACGCTTAAATTGACAATCATATAATATTGCTCTCGAACTAATTTAGCTAACACCAGACTAGCTCATTGCTAACCAAGTCAGCAAAGAAGACTCGTACAGCGTTGTTTTTTTCTCGAATAATAAAAATGAATATATAATTTAGAGACAGATGTGACAGCAAAAGGCATCGAAACACAACTTACTTGCGCCTTATTGATGTTGATAGGACGTTAGGTGTCTTTTAAAGGCCTGTCTGCTCTGTTGTTCTGCACAGAAACCATCAGACTGCAGAAATGTCAACCTACCGTCTGTGATTTGTTTGGTGCACGTGAGCCAACCTGGAGCCAACCAGCGACAGACATCCGGGAGCTACACACAAGGAACGATTTAACCGTCTCTTATTGGTTTAGACATTTGATGGACAGGTCGTCCGGCAAATCACAGTAAGGGAGGTCTATAACGACTGGAAAGTAAACAAACAGTCTTCCTATCATTACGCAGAGACAGATGAACCGAGCCCCATTATATATACAAGGCCCCAACCTATTTTATACAGTCTGGCCCCAACATCTGTACATGATTGTGCTCTAATTATGCAGTTTTTTTAAATTCACAAACAGACAATTTCTACTACTTTAGAGCTTTATTCTCTACTTAAAACAGTCAGGTTATTAACATCAAAATACAATTATTTTGATACATACAATTTTTTATATAATTTGTATTGTTTTTAATTATATTTGTATGTAACTTTCGTTTATCATTCTAATTGTATGTACATAATTTATTATATGTGTTGCAGCTACTTTTCTATATTTTATATTTTTCCAATATCTAACATCTGTACGAATGTGTAACAACTTACAGTGCTGGAAGGTAACTTGAATACATCTACATGTAAAAACTACATACATTAAAAGTGCCACATCACAAATAAAGGGAGATTGTTCTTTATTTGTTATTATATGGTGATTAACATTTTGTTTACAGTGGATTAAATGTATACCTTAACTGTTGACACTACGATTAAGTGGATATTTAAAGTGACAAGTTAGGAGGTAAAGTTAAATTATTAATATTAGCGAGTTATATAAGTAAACATTGCACACAAATAATACTTTGGTATGTAATTAGTCACATTCCATAAATGAAATCAGATGGGTTCAGCAAATGATGAGAAATGTCCTGATGGCAAGTTTGAAAATAACATAAACCCATCCATATACCTGCTGGAACCATTAATGAAACTTCCAGTTTCTACTACATTTAGCTGCACTGTGTGAGTGCGTGTTCTGGACTGACTGACGCTGAGCGCTGGCTGGCAGTCGCTGTTAGTAAGACGGTGAAAGTGAAAGAAGGACTCCATAACTGTGGAAAGCACCAGAGCAGGCAGTCCCCACACCGGAGCAGAAGGCAGTCCCCACACCGACAGTCAGCACAGGAGGGAGAAAGAGCTCCGGGTCTGAGGCAGCAGCAGTTCAGCAGACACAGCCATGGCTAACATCGCGGTCCAGAGGATCAGGCGGGAGTTCAAAGAAGTTCTCAAAAGCGAAGAGGTGCGGTAACGTTTGTGGATATCTTTATACTTCGATTGAGCTATTTTTTTTATAACGTTTTCAACTTAACCAACATGTGAGGTGTGTGGAGTGTGTGAAAGAGGTTCAAATTACCTAACGTCAGGTCCCAGTCGTGTGTTGCAGCAGGTCAGGCCTAAACAGGAGAACTTTAGCTAGCTTTAGCTCGATGTCACTGTCAGGTGGGTGTGTTCAGGAAACACCGGGGATTCAGCCTTTCCAGTGAGGGCCCCTGTGTTCTAACAAACAATACTGCACACCTTTAGTTCGTTGCCATACTGGAAAAACCTCCCTTGTACGAGGAAACACACACGCCTCATACACGGTACCGTGTGTGTTTCCTAACGAGATTTAGTTAGTGACACTTGGAGTTAGCTTTTAGCTTGCTAACGAACTGTTGTTTTGACATCTCATCCAGTTAGCATTAGCCTGTGGTGCTATGATGCAACCTTCACCAACTCGTCACCTTTATAATACTTAAATTAATTGTTGGTCTCAATAGGTTAGTGTTTCGGGCATTTTTAAGGGGTTATTTTGTCATGCTCGTGTCATACAAATATTGTTATTGTGGGTTTGTTGTTATGTCAACTTTTGCTAGCTTGGTTCTTGTAGCAAGCTACCCGTGTTGTTTACGTATTTAAATGTCGAGACGGCTCCCGTTGAACAATGTTTTTTGGTATAAAATTACAGATATTGTGCCGTTTTTACCAACCAACACATATATGTAGCTTCACGTTTGTTTGTAAACGTATGGTGTAATACTTGACAGAGACATGTCAAGACATGAAAGACTGTGACACCAAGGGTAACTGGTTGTGTCCCTCTCATTTATCCCAACCCACAGACAAGTAAAAACCAGATAAGAGTAGAACTGGTGGATGAAAACTTCACAGAGCTGAGGGGGGAGATAGCAGGTCCTCCAGATACACCATATGAAGGTATGGTCACAAACAAGCATTTCAATGACCTGCCAAGATATTTGCACAAGAATCTAATGACATGATATGACATGCCTAACATTTTTCTCTTATTAAGGTGGCAGATTTCAGCTTGAAATTAAAATCCCAGAAACGTATCCTTTCAACCCACCAAAGGTACGTCATTCACTTGTTCCCATCTGGTACACACTGTATGTCCTTCACTTGCACATTGTCAGACCTGGTATAGCATTTTTGGCTTTGGCATCTTTGTTTCAAAAACGTTGATATGCCGTTTTGAGGAACTTGAAGATGCCGCTTGAAGTACAGTTATGTGAATTGTAAACAGCTTATCCGGGTTTCCTATCACTGTCTGTCACGTCACGTGCACATAATTGCCCTTTAACTCTAGTAAGATAGGATTGTCACTAAACTAATTCTATGTTTGATACAATACTCAAAAAATATTGATGCTGGATAACATTTTCAATAACGTTTCACAAAGTTTACAAACGGTAATAAGGCCATAATGTTTTGTGATAGACAATAGTGACAAAATGAAAAGTAAAAGAGATAGTCTGGAATGGAGTTTCTGAGATGTTCAGGAACCAGAGACACAAACATTAAATATTCTCTCAGTAATTTTACATTTTCAATATTGATATATATATATATTTATATATGTATATAGTAATGTCATAGCGTTTCTCGGCTTATATAATCAAATATATAATACAAAATCCAATATTTCCATGAAGCAGTTGTCCTTATGGATTATTGACCTGCTTAAATTTGATAAGCAGGTCAGCACCGTAGTCAAAACCTGCTTCTTTTTTTTTAAATACGACTATTGGCCAAGACCAAGTCGTTTTTATCTTTTAAAGACCTAGAAAGGGTTATTAACGCCTTTGTAACCACGAGGCTGGATTATTGCAACGCTCTATACGTGGGTATGGACCAGGCGTCAATTAGACGCCTGCAGCTAGTGCAGAACGCAGCTGCGCGTCTTCTCACTGGCCACAAAAAGCGTCACCACATCACCCCAATTCTGGCCTCATTGCACTGGCTTCCAATTCGGTTCCGAATTGATTTTAAACTCCTTTTATTTGTTTTTAAAGCACTAAATGGTCTGGCTCCGGCTTATATAGCAGAACTCATCCATCGCTACACCCCAGAGAGCTTTAAGGTCGGCTGACCAGCTGCTGCTGGTAGTGCCCAAGACCAGGCTCAAAACCCGAGGGCACCGAGCCTTCGCAGCAGCTGGGCCTAGGCTCTGGAACACTCTGCCCCTCCATGTGAGGTCGGCCCAGACCCTAGGGGTTTTTAAATCAACACTAAAGACTCACTTCTTCTCCCTGGCCTTCTAGTCAGAGCGGAGCATGACTCCTGACATTTCCCTGTTTGATTTTTATATTTGCTGTTGTAATTTATTGTCTTCTGTTTGCGATTGTAGTAATGTGTTTTTTATTTGCATGTACAGCACTTTGGCTCGACCAAAAATCGTTTTTAAAATTTGCTATATAAATAAAACCTGATTTGATTTGATCCACAGAAATATGTTTAACTTATGGCTACCACAGTAAAGACGAAAGGACAAAATCTTACCAAACATGATCAGAACTTGAAACGTATGTGCATATTAAAAACTCATTGTATCCCTGTTTTCCTCAGGTGCGTTTCATCACTAAGATCTGGCACCCTAACATCAGTTCTGTGACAGGAGCAATTTGTCTGGACATTTTAAAAGACCAGTGGTGAGTGGATGTATCTGAGCCTTGTGACCTTCTGCACATGAATACAATTCCTGCGTGTCTCCTACTTCTCAAACACCCTCATTCACCTGCTCCAACTTGACTTCTGTCCCCCCAGGGCAGCAGCTATGACCCTGAGGACGGTGCTGTTATCTCTACAGGCTCTCCTTGCTGCAGCAGAACCAGATGATCCCCAGGATGCAGTTGTAGCAAACCAGGTGAGAAAGATTTTTGTACACACACACGCCTGATTTCCATAAACATAGCTTTAGCAAATTGCTTGACAATTGAATGGAAACGTGAATACGGTGTGGCTCTCTCTCTACTTTTAGTGTTTGCTGATTTTGTAAAGTGCATATAAAAAACAATTCTTATTGAGCTCTTTGTCTTCATCCTCAGTACAAGCAGAATGCAGAAATGTATAAACAGACAGCGAGGCAGTGGTCTCACGTCTTTGCTGGCGCGCCTGTCTCCACTCCAGACTACAACCGCAAAATAGATAAACTCTGTTCCATGGGCTTTGAAAAGGTCAGAACCACTTTCTGTTTTACTGTACACATTAAACGAATGTATTGAACAAAGTATGGTGTGGGTCAGGAAAGTTATGGATTTTCTTTTTTTTTTTAATTGTAATTTTGCAGTATGGGGGGACATTTTCTGATTCTGTAATAATTAAGCAAGTATCTCTAAGTATAGGAATGTTAGTCGAAGGAAACAAGACATTTGAGTATATAGCTTTAGGCTCTGGGAAAACTTATGCTTGGTATTTTATTTTTACTGTATTCTGACATTTCACAGACTAAACAAAAACTACACAGTATATTAATCACCATTTTATAAAAAGAAAATAGTTATTTGGCAGCAGAGCAAGCAAAGTAGTCTCACTGTAGAAAATGTCAAAACATTTACTCTTAACAAGTCCCAAGATAATTAATATTAAAGTAGCTCATTTGTTGTTTTCTAAAACGTATAAAGCCGTGTAAGGGTTGACATTTCATGCTCATTAAAGCGTACTTTAAAATCAATCTTCTTTTTACTTTTCTCTCTTGCAAACAGAATGCAGTAGTAGCAGCCTTGTCTTCAAAATCCTGGGATGTGGAAACGGCGACAGAGCTGCTCCTTAACAACTAAAACGTAGCCAGGTGTGAGGATCCCCAACTCCCATTGTCATAACATCAGCTCCCCCCCAGCATCCATTCCACCATTGCCTTGTGTTACACAGACGACCCCCCACCCCCCCCCATTCACCACAGCAGTCTGAGCCTTCTTTATAACAAGTCGGTTTGCTACGAACTCAACACCACAATCGCCAATATTCACACCGCCCTGCCAGTTCATTACCGTCTACTCTTCCACTAACTCAACATGTTTACTTGTAATAGACCACCAAACACCTTCGATCATGCATCTTGTATTCCATGCCCATTATTTACATCGGATCTGAAACTTTCTTTCCCACATATCTTTGTACCTGAATATTGCAAACAATCAAATAACTGCCATTGCTGGAGGATTTTAAACAATGTCAAGGAAGTCCTGCATACTGCTCTCAGAGTATGTCACCATTCGCTCTCCAGCAAATGGTTGGCCCTGGTCTTGCTGTATTACATGTACTGGACTGGATAGTGTTCTGCAAAGAGCAATAGAATGGATTTTTCCTGAGCAGTTTCTCGGATGCTTTAATTACCTGCAGTTTGTTTTTTTCGATCTGTAGATGTAGGTAAGATCACACAAACATCTGCACAGAAGTTATCTGTAAATAGATGCGTGTAGCCGTGTACATTTGAAAATACAATGGGATATACTTTTTCTTTTCTTACATGGCATTGTAGAACAAATTATTTTAAATATAAACTATGCCTAGTTTACAACTATACGGAGAGATATCTTTATATGCTTTGTGATTTACGAGAAAGCCCTCTGAATGGCCTGTTTCTTTTCTTTTTACTAAGATTGTTGTTTAGGGATGGCACAACATCCTGGTCCTAGTGGGACAGGAGCTGAGAGCCAGCTCAGGCCCCTGGAGGTCATAACATGCCATCTTTTCTTGTCTTTGCATGCTCTCTGCTGCCTTTTATTTTATTTGGCCAAACGATGTGGTGATGGGGGGGGGGGGTGTCTGTTCATTTCAACATAACTTTGTAATCCGTGAAGAGAGACACCTGGAAGCTCGGCAAGCAACTGAAGGTCTCCCAGTGATATCCGTAGGGAACCAGTCTTTTCTGTTGAGTGTTGGTGGAAAATCTTCTGAACAGATTTGCACGGCACCAGCAGAAAATAGTGACTCTGAATTTCATCAATTGTTTTGAGTTTGCAATGCTGTGTTTTTTGTTAATTTCAGAGCAATCACTTTCAGCCACGTATCAAGGACCTGCTCACCCTCAGTCCTGCTGATGTAGAACATTTAGGGGGGGGGGGGGTTTATTGCTCGTCACTGATCCCATCCCGCAGGACTCGATCCAATCCTTTGGCCATATATAGGAGAAGCCAGCAGACATGCTTTACTACTCAGCCAAATAAAATGATCATGGAAGTTGTGTTATGAGTAATAAAATAGGCTGGCACTCCTCTGAAGCACATAGCAGGCCTGCAGTGTTTTCAGACATTTTGATTTGAGGTACAAGGACTATGAAGAAATGCTCAGCATAAAGAGAAGTGGGGTGTCAATGAATCCTCACATGGCTTCTTTTAAATAGGAAATATCTTTTGCTCGCCCTCCAGCTCAGTCCCTACCAACGCAGTGGCATATTACAGTACTAAATGGAGTTGTCGTGCTCTATCTCCACAGTGAATTCCCCGCCAGAGCCAAAAGAAACACGGTTCAGAGGTAGAGGAGCGCACCATTTCTGTTCATTGTAAATAGCCCAGTTCTTAATAAAGAGCTGTGTCACGAGTGCACCATTGATGGCTGGATCTATATTTTGTAAGAAAAAAGGAAGGACAAAAAACAGAAATGAAGCCCCCTCCCTGGTTTTTCTCACTATGTACTATATTGCACGATGATGAAGCATTAGATAAGGGGCTGTTTGCATCTCAGTTTCTCCATTTGGATTGAGACTTATTTTCTTCTTGTTTCCTTGGAAGTGAGCATCAGCAGTATAAAAAGCATGGTTATTTATTGTGACAGTGTCATGTTTCTTTGATTAAAAAAAAAAGTGGAAAATCAATTTGTCATCTTTTTGGAAAAATGCACTCCATAAACACTGATCAAGACAAATGTACTGCATGGTAACATCTAAGAGCATTTATTTTTCTGGAAAAAAATTAAATATGATCATGAGGATAGGCATACTTTAACTACAGTAAAAATAAACTACAGTAAAAATAATTCATCAACGCATCCTGCAAGGTTTCAAATCACCGTTACTAAAGCAAGCTTTACCCAGCCGAACATCTGAAGTACAAAAAAAGATTTAATTGTAAAAGAACAAAAACCTGAACACATAGTATAGTAATATATCATTTATGCATTCAAAAGTGTAGTACTAAATCATACTTCAGCAGTACAAAACCAAACTGTAATTCATACCCAGCTCGATTTCAGAGGGGAGGAGGCGCCAAACGGAGCTTGGAGCAAAGTATCCAGAAATGTTTGACCGCTTAAATGTGTCAAACACTAGAAATAACCAAAAGGCTTTTAAAAGCATTACAGGTGGCAGTTAATAGGCCCAAGTTTCTCCTGGACTTTGAGGTGCTATAGTCAAGCTAAAGCACCTCAACATACTTGTTAGAAGTCTAAACATACTAAAGTTTATAAAATGTTGGTGTTGGGACAGCTGCTAAATGCACAAATCTTATGCTATGATGATCCCGGATTCCAGCCATAGTAACCGCTTTGGATATTCAAAAGGTTCAACTGCAAAGTTGAACATGGGTATTTACAAAATACAACTGCAAGTAACACTAGTGAGCTCAAAATAAACAACAAAAAACGATTGTGCAACGGACTCAAGGAGGAAGAGGTCAGGAGACATACATTAGGATTTTTCCCAGGGAATTTAATAAGCAACAATCAACCAGATTAAAACGTTTGTAAAATGTCCATCCTGTTTTTTTCCTTAAAAATGGCTCCACAAAAGAAGCAAAGAGCAACAAACAAGGGGAAAAAAATTACATGTTTTTGGAGTAAGACCTACATACGATGAGCTTCATGACTATAAGGAATTTAAAACCTTCTAAGATGTCAGAGATTTGTGTCTGCGTATTTGTGTCTGCGTGTGTGTGTGTACATGTGTGTGTTTTTAAGAAAGGTCCATAATGTGTCCAGGACAGCTTTAGAGTCAGAGGAGCGTGTACGCATCGGAGGAACGAGGCAGAGTCCGGCCTGTTCGTTACGGTCTTGATTTCGCCTTCAGTGGTTTCCTCTTTACCTGAAACACAGAAAGAAACATCGATGTAATCATCTGTGGCTGATGCTTCAAGAATACAACTTTTCCTCGACAGTAGCTCTTTAAACAAATACATTAACATACAGAAACCATTTTTGCAAATGTCTCTATTTATTTAAAATAGCCATGTTAACTGCTTGGTAGAAATATTGTATTTTTTGGGGAAAAAACCTGAATATTTTGTGCCTTCAGACATTAACTGTGACAGTCACTGTGTTTATAAACATCCTGAGCTAAACCAACTTACTACCAGCCCACTTTTGGGCTCTCCCTGCCTGCCAGAAGGAACCCCCCTCCTTGAAGACTTGGTTTCTCCCTGGTTGTACAGGTCGGACCCGTCTGCCTGGCTGTTCTGCTCTTTTGTGGGGGGGTGTCTCTCTCTCTCCTTCCTGATCTCTGGGCTGGACTCCATCTCTATCTCAGCGTTGCCCAGGAAGGGGGCGACTAACCCTACAGCTCTCCCTGTCTCCTCTCCTGACTCCCACTTTCTCAGTTTTTCATTATCTCTGCTCACAAACAGCCACCTGAAGAGAAGAAAGTTGGCATCTGAAGGATGATCTGACTTCTGTTCAATCTTACGATAGGATAATAAGCCATCAGTGAAACAGGAATTCAAACTGAACAGCACCACTGTCAAGCCTTTTAACTTTGTCTCTTTCCTCCACTCTCACCTCTGCAAGTCGATCTGTCTCTTTGTCCCTTCTTCATTCTGCTGCTGCTGTTTTGACATCTTGATGTTGATGGAGTCTGCTGAGGGGTTGGATTTGGGGTCAGCTGCTCTCTTCCTGCCTCTGCCAGCTCCTCCTGTCGGTGTCACTGGAGCCTCTTTCTCAACCACCACCACGGCGGCGGCGGCAGCAGCAGCTGTTTTAGGAGGGCGGCCGCGTCGTTTGACGGTCGATGCTTCTGTCTCTGCGTCAGGAGTCGCATTCTGACTTGCCTCGTTCTGAGAGATACAATGAGGATAGTAAAGTCAAGATAACCCTTCTTAAAAGGGACAGTTACTCAAAAAAAACAAATATATATTTTTTTCCTCATACCTGCAGTGCTATATTTATCAATCGACATTTTTGTATTAGTTGCTGAGTGTTGGAGGAATCTGTAGAGATGCGTGCCTTCTCTCGACTATAATGGAATGAAATGGCACTCTGTTTCTTAACAGAAATCTGCTCTAAAGATAATCCACAGACTGGCTGTGAGGAGTTAATTTAGGAACCATTCTCTTTTACCAACCACACTCGTCAACCGTAACACAGCACAGGAGCTCGCGTGCATTTACCCACCGATGACAGACTCCAGTGAGCTAGCTCAAATACAGCTCAGCCGAGGAGGAGAGCATTATGTTTACATCTCACACCACAAGCAGAGTATTTGAGCTTTTATTATAGATAAGGCAGGCATCTCGCCAACTCACACCAATACTATCTTTCTGGATAAAAAGCCCTTAAGTTAAGAGGAAATATGTGTTTTGTCACGTTTTAATGTTTTTTCCAAGCTTACCTTCTTCCCTTCGCTGTTCTTGATGACTGGGTTCTCGTTGTTTTCCTGCGCTGGGCTCTCTGATGACTCGGTGGCAGCATTGTTGTTACTACAAGACATGTTTGAATATTGTTATAGCCAACATTACTTTGAAGTGTGTGTGTGTGTGTGTGAATGCGTGTGTGTGCGTGTGTATGCGTGTGTACCTGTTCTTGATGGTGGAGGCGTTCAGTGGGGAGGAGATGGTGCTGGTGTTGCTGGCTGTGTCTGGGGCTGGGGCTGCGGTGGCGGTGGTGGTGGTGGTGGTCTTGTTGAAGATCCTCCTCCCCGGTACCGTCAGAGGTTTGTTCGCAGCTCCCAACACTGGAGCTACTTTAGGCTGCGTGAAGAACGGAGGAGATTAAGGGTGCCGTTAGTATACTGATAAGCATTTGATTGTTTATCATGGGCCTAAACCTTTTAACTAATTCGATCAGGCATGATGACCGAAGAGTTATACTCATACTGATAATAATATATATATATATATATATGTTTCTAAACTAAAGCAAATATTTTTCTCTTACTCAACTAAACAAGAAATTCAAAATAAATGTTTAAATGTTTAGGTTAAATTCAAGTATACACATAACAGAGATGTGGCTCAGTAAATAGGAATGTTCTTCGTTTACCTTTCCAGAGAGCAGCATTTGTCTCATCTCTGTCGACAGATACTCGATTTCATTTTTGAACTCCTGTTGAAAGAAATCACGGCAGAACACTTTGATTAGCATAAACCGGTAAACCACAGAGGTCATGGATGTGGCTTATATCTTGAAGTGTGCCCATATGTATCCACCATGCAGTGGATGCAAGTCATTTTTAAGAAGAATTTGAAATGTTTCATCTTCAAGAGGAAAGAAAAAGGTTATGTATTACATGAATTCAATCCTAGAAGCATAAATCCAAATCTATGTGTGTATTTGTGTGTGTGTTTATTGCCTTGTCCTGCACGATGAAGAAGTTGGGGGGTAGGACGGGGTCTTTCGGAGAGTCCAGGTGACATGCAGTGCTCTTGTTGGCGATGACGAAGAGAGCGACATCACACACAATATACATCTTCTGTAACCAAGACATCATGAGACACACTGTTAGGATTGTTGGTGTAATTAGGTGACTGGCCCCAAAGAGTTCTTAGTTGGGATGAAAAGTTACATTTTTCAAATCAAACCATGGTGAAATTACCGTCTGTAGGAATTATCGTTTTAAATGTTAATCATCATTGAAACCATAACAGAGCGTTGAGAAACACACAGTAAATTCTGTCAAGCATCAACAAAAGTCAGGTATGTTCTCCTTTAGCACGACACTTGGGTTTGTTTCAGGTCAATGAAAACATGGTGAACAGCACTCTGGAGAGATGTCAGCCTTCAGGACCCAGACTGAAGAGGGTTGCTCGTTTAAAAAGTGCTGAAGGAACTTTAATCTAAGATGGGTCCCTGTCTCCAGAACACACAGTAAGAAAATGTTGTTTGTACCTCATTGGCCTTTGCGTCTTCAGGACACTGTGCGTCCTTCGTCTGCTTGATGTTCTCTACCATCTTCCTTAGGAAAGCATGACTGTTGTTCTCATTCTTGGTCATCAGCACTTCCAGCATGAACCACAGGCACCTAGGCACATCAGCACAATGAACATCAATGGGTTCAGATTCACTCCTCAAAACCTGGGTCTCTTGAGCATTGGAAGTCAAGAGTATACACTTTTATGTTATTTGTAAAATAAAGATAACAAATAAAAACATTCTCAGCTGTATGATCAGATTTAGTAAATAAAATCAAAAAGAAATATGTCAACACTCACTCCTTGATATCTTTGAGCTGTTCATATTCCTGAGGTTTTGTGAAGTCTGGGTCGTGTGCCAGCAGGTGGATCATATAGGGAACGACAAACTCAGGAAGAAGGGAGACAAGTTTTTCTGTGGAAGAGAGAATAACACATTCATTTATATTAATTCGTTTTGGACTATCTGATTTTATTTTTTAAATTGCAACTTTTACAAAAAGTGCTTTGAGTGAAAAAAGACAAGAAGAAAATTGCTCTAATGATGCAAGTCAATGTACAAAATATTGGTAGTATCACTACACAGTGAAGAAATGCATGACATGGAGAAAAGATGGTGTACCGACAAATGCAAAGAAAGTGGAATGAAATACTTTTGCTCCAGGAAAAGCAGCAGACGACAGAAATCCAACATATGTGCAGCCATGAGAAGGCAGTAATTCTTCTCATAAATACATGCAGTTCACTTTGTTTTGTAAAA